GGATAAAGGGCTTTCCTTCTCCACAATTAAAGTCTACTTAGCAGCCATTTCTGCCTGCCATGTAGGTTGCTCATCCTTTAGCCGTGCATTTTCTGAATGGGGTTCATAAGCTACGGCCTGCTATTAAACACAGTATTCCCTCTCACTGTGATTCGAGGCTCTCTGCGACCCTCCATTTGAGCCTCTAGAGTCTGTAGAGTTAAAGTTTCTTTCATATAAAGTTGCTTTGCTTCTGGCTTTAGCTACAGCTAAACGGGTCGGGGACCTCCACGCTCTGTCAGTGAACCCCTCCTGTATCCAGTTTTCTACTAATGACTCTAAAGTYGTTTTGCACCCTAACTCTGCGTATCTTCCTAATGTGATACCTTCTAGTTACAGCTCTATGTCTATAGAGCTTTCCAGCTTTCACCCCCCACCCTTTGCATCTGAGGAGCAAAAGAGGCTGCATCTTCTGTGCCCTGTACATGCTCTACGCACTTACATCAGCCGCACACAGGATGTAAGGTCATGTGATCAGCTGTTTGTGGCTGTTGCTAACCCACACAGAGGTAAAGCTCTTTCTAGACAAAGACTCTCTCACTGGATTGTAGAGGCCATCTTGCTAGCATACAGCAGCAAAAACCTTCCAATCCCTCTTMGAGTTAAAGCTCACTCCACCAGGGGTGTAGCGACACCTTGGGCCCTTTTAAAAGGGGTACCTGTGAGTGACATTTGTGCCGCGGCCAGCTGGGCCTCACCAAACACATTTGTAAGATTCTACAGCCTGGATGTAACAGCACGTTCGGTGGCTCATTCTGTACTTTCTGCCAGGTCCAAAGCTCTGCATTAGTACAGTACTTACTCAGGCACACTACTTAACTCAGGTCTGATACTGCTCTGCGGGGCACTTTGACAAGTCCCATGTACAACTGTGTGTTGTACTGAGTGAAATGATTGAAAAGGAACGTAAGGTTATGAATATAACCACGGTTCCTTGAAGGAATGGAACGAAGTACAGCACCTTGTTGGCCCCGCATCACAAAGGCTCGGTGAAGGGCGGTATCTAACTGAGTAATGACGCTGGTGACTCCGAACTTATAGGGTGAAGGCGGAGCCTGTCACCCGACGGTCAACGTCACCGATGTGACGCTCCTGCTCCTGCTATGTGTTAATTGTCATTCGCAGGTGCGTCCTGTTACCTGATTACCTTCCAGGTCTGTTGGAGGCGGAGTCAGAGCAGTCTTAAGCAGCCAGCAGTGCAGGTGTGAGCAGAAGCACGCAGAGGCACACAGACACACACGTTGATGTAGATGTTGGCACAAGTGACAGAGGAGCTGCTGAGCAGCAGAGTCAGCAGCTGAAGCGCAGCAGCTCGGTAGGCAGCGAGATGGCGCAGCCGAAGGAGCAGTGGGGAACCAAGTCGTGATTGCTGGTGTGAGGAAAGGCATCAGGTACGCTGGGATCCGAAGATGTCAAAGAGCGGGACTCCAATGAAGGTGTGGAGCATGCTGGCGATCTTCAAAAGGACCAAAGTGGCGTACGAGGTGGCGCAAAAATGCTGGAACTGACTGAATGTTGATGCACGGACCAGGACGAGAACGAGAGCTTTTTTCTGGAAGGAGACGACTCCGAGAGAGGCTGTTAAATGGTGGACAAGAAGGTCTACCGGGAGCACAACGGTGGACAGGACAGTGACCAGTCAGAGACCTTGGTGCTTGGTGTGGAGGCAGATCTGGTACTGGACCACACACCTGAAGTGGTCCAGGTGGTGACAGACGCTCTGTGCATCCAGTGTATGGAGCACCGAGGGCGACACCAACTCACAGTTTTTTACTCCTAGACACTTTAATAAATGGCCTTCTAAAGGTTTAAAACTGGCATCCTGTGTCGTGTTTCCAATTATGTTGCAACTCTTACAGCCGGGTCGTAACACCGGTCTAAAGACGTGATTAGAGGTGGCTTCAGCCAGGCGAGTCCCATATACAACTGTGTGTTGTACTTCGTTCCATTCCTTCAAGGAACCGTGGTTATATTCATAACCTTACATTTGGTTACGTATCAAAATGCAATCAGACATGTTTCCTACCAGCTCTGCCACACCTAATGAAAACAGGTCACCAAATCCTGTTTTCCCATCACCACAGCCAAGGTGTGGAATGTACTAAAAAGCAGCAGAAGTGTTATCTCTTCTTACCCAGCATGCTCGGCTCCCCCTCCAGCAGCGACAGGATGTACTTATTGAGGAACAGGGTGCAGAAGCTGAAGAAGTACCAGAGGCCCAAGTAGGACATGGAGCGCCAGTTCCACACCCCGTATTCTGCCTCGATCACCGTCGTCTCTGTGACCATGATCTTCAGCACCTGCTCCCCAGGCAAGCTCTCGCTCCGGGTCAGAACCACCCTCTCCTGACGGGTGCGGAACGGCGACAGGAAGTGCCAGATCGAATGCCTGGCATGCTGCTTGCTGCCCTGCATCTTACCTGCTGCCTCGTGGCCCTCGGGGGCCCCAACAGTCAGGTAACGACAGAGGAGAGGAGCAGTCGGTGAGACGTTTTGAGGGTCAGTCCATCTTCTGATGTGTCCAACAAATTATGTCTCCCTCTCCTTGAAAAGACAAACAAAGACAGAAAAGGTTAACAAGTCTAAATAACCACTTTTTTTTCCCCTTTTTGTCTTCTTTACAGCTACAGTTAAAAATAACATTATAAACACAGACAATAACAACAAAACGCTCTGATGGAAATAAAATCTGAACTTTGACATTCTCCATTGTCAAATTCCCTAATGTTTCAATAATTTACAAGGTGAATTTTCAAGCAGCCCCAGCTCCTTATTTATCAAGTGAAATCAATAGTAATTTGCTTTAAAGGAAGCAAAATTATGACTTGTATAACTTTACAAAAACACAAATAAGTGACTTCAAACATAATCACTATTCCTAAAATATAATCCACATTCAGCAAATTGTCTAAATATGGTTTAAATGCTTTTAAAAGCGCAGTTTATCCTCATATTGTCCTTTACTTTTAAAATAAAACTTGTACAAATATTAATTAAGAAAGAAAACGATTAAAACCCAGCCACAGTCACTTTTACTAAAAGCAAAACATTTTTAAATTAGATACCAATACACTACAAAATCAATGCAAAGAGATAATTTGCAAATACATTCAAAGATTTCTAGCACCTATAAGAACTGTCTTTACAGACCATATAATCCAACCCCATCACGTCCAGTCTGTGACTGCTCGTTGGTTTTCTGGGCTTTCATTATATCTAATTATAGTCCGTTTCATTTAAGTCACAACCTGCTTAAATATTCATGCACAACTTTCAGTTGTATTTGAAGTACTTTTACAAAGGAGAAAAGCTTGTTTACTAGATTTTTAGCACCTGATACAAGAGCAAAAATGTAAAAGTCCAATAATCTCTTTCTTTTCAAACACTAAAATGTCTATATTTGGTTTAAAGTAGCAGACAATGTTGCCGAAGTTAAGAGGAGTCGATTTTTCAAAGTAAACAATAAAAACAAATGTATTTTTATTAACCACTCAGGGTTGTTAGCTTCTTCTGGTTAAAATACCTCACAGACAACATCAACTTACCTTTACGTAAATCACCGATTTGGACAGAGAGACTTTTGAAGAGATTTCCCCAAAAGAAAGAAGAGAAGCTGCACAAACGTTAGCTAGCCGCATTTGTTAGTAACACCGTAGGCAAACAAGGGTTTCTCCAAAAGAACACCCGCCCAGTCGGCCATGCTGCGCTACATGTCCGATTTTTGGACCGAACCCTCCGAATACCAACTAATTTTACTGCTCTCTGAGGTTTACATGAAGCTGGACGCCAAACTTTGAACGTGGCTGCTAGCAGGAATCGACCAGCAGCAGTCAGATTTTTTTTGAAGCCGCAACCGGAAACTAAAAGAAGCCTTCAAATTAAAACTTCCGTTTGTGAATTCATCTTTGACTCATAATAAATTTAACTTAGTTTTATTTAAATTGTCATCTTAAACACTGTCATTAATTAACTTCTATTCTGTAAGGGCAAGTTTATATATCTACATATTCAACATAAAAAGTAAATAAAAAAGGCTTTTATTTTATGGCACAAACTCAGTGCTTCCGGGAAAAATATCTCATCATGACAATACTGAACTAATTTGTTTTGGCGTTTTAATTGCATCTTGAAAATCTGTATTTGTAATACACATACATAAATGTTTATTCGTTTACTAGCTGTAGTAAAAAAATAAAACTAAAATAAACATCGAGTCTTGCATGCAAATCTTTGTGTGTCCACTAGAGGGCCCTAAAACGTAGGATTTCAAATTATTAGAGTATAAGTTTTTTTAATTGAAAGCTTTAGTTTATACAAAGCACAAGGTAGTAATACAAATTCATATTCAAATACAAAACAAAGAGGCATACATAGGTGCAGAACAGATAACTTAAAGAGTAAATGAATAAAATAAAATGAAACAGTGAAAAGTATAGAGTACAAGTATTACCGTATACATATTTCACCTGTATGCAAACAATCGTAGTGTTACAAATGTGAAAAAAAGAAAATTGCTAATCTTTTTCATATAAACCACAGCATTTACATCTCAAACATAATCACCACCAGAGGTTTCAGGTAATAAAGTACAAATACTTTGTTACTTTACACAAATCAACATTTTGATTATTTATACTTTACTGGAGTAATTATTTTTCAGACAAATTTTTATTTATACTCCTTACAAAATGCAAAAATTAACGTGGTTTGGGCAGTTTAGCCACTGTGTTGTGGCCCAATCTTTTGTGCTTAATGATAAGTAAAAAGCTTGAGTTGGTATTTCAACTTGTAAAAAGTACTTTTAAACCCTATTTGTACTTCTTGAGTAATGAATTTAAATACTTTTGACACCTCTGATTACAACTAGTATTAGTAAGCATGCTATTTATTTTCACTTCTGACAAACTGTAATGCAGTTTTGGTCAGGAGAAATTTATATATTTTATTATATAAAATAATGACAAAAATGAAGAATCCAAGAAAAAAAAATATGTGTGTGTGTGTGTGTGT